GATATACCGGCAAATACAACCGCCTATTGTCTCATCTTGCACGATCGCGTTGTTGAATATTGCCCATTGACCAACGCAGTTCGTAAAATGGCCTAGATCAGCAAATATCTCCTCCAATGTCAAAAATATATAAAGATTGAGATTTTGACGATCGACAGCAGTCGTACATCATTCTTGCAATCGTACAGTAATATTATCAGCATGATCGCGCCAACGTTTGTGGATCTGCCAGCATTCATTATCGGGCGAAACTTTATCGTGAAGGACGTAGTGATATTTAGAAATGGATTTGTTCACTCTCATTACTTTTTTGCAAGTCCCGTAAAAATAATTGACACTCTTTTAATAATAATAATAATAACAATGTTTATTAAAAAATTTGTGTGTGTGTTTATTAAAATTATAATAATAATAAAAATCGTCGCTGCACGCTCCTTCTGAAACGGAAAAAATACATATCTTGTTAGTATATTAATTTAATTTTTATAAATCTAATATAAATTTTAAAAAAAATGATACTTACATTTTCTTCTTGGGCCCCCAACTCCTTCCCCCTCCCCCGTTCTTGCAATCGTACAGTAATATTATCAGCATGATCGCGCCAACGTTTGTGGATCTGCAAGGATTCATTATCGGGAGAAACTTTGTCGTGAAGGAAGTAGCGATACTGAGGAATGGATTTGTTCTTTCTTACTACTTTTTTGCCAGTCCCGTACCATGGCGTGCGCTTACAAAATCTGAGAGATGCCAAGCTTCATGGCTAATCGGACATCACCACGGACTTCAATGGGAGGATGGAAACGTTCTATACAGCTTCGCTAGGCGTTTGATTACGGGAACTGTGATGGGCGCGACGGAAGAGGAAGATGGAGCATCTCCTATCGTTAAAGGACACAAAAAACGAGAATGGCTGACCGATATACTTGACGATGATGCAAGAAACGATGTTATTATTGACACCTTGGATGCGGACTATGAAGATATCACTTTGTTAAATAAGCTAGATCTTTTATGCTTCCCTTTTCCTCTTTCTTATCCCAGTATGCGAGTATTACATGTCAGTACGTGCCGTTAGATAGCGGCCTCAGCCATTTAATTAAAATATAAATGTTACATGTCTATAGACATAAAATTTTTAAAATAATAATTAGTTTGTCGTTTGATAATGGTTCAAAGCTGTTCGATAGCTGTTCAATAGCTGTTTAAAGTTGTTCGATAGCCGTTCAAAGCTGTTCGATAGCCGTTTGATAGTGGTTTGCATATTATAATAATACATTCATATTTAAAAGACTTGTAGATAATTGTCTGCGGAAACATGCTTACTTTTGTCTTCTTATCATATGCAAAAGGTAAGCGTTCTTTGTAAGTGATACATCCTCTACTCTAAAATGTTTAATCGAGACAATGTTTATCTCATTATGTCCGTCACAAAGTATTTGACAACGAGTGAAGAACAGTGTTATAGTAAAATTAAAACTGTTTGAAAATGCCAATGTTTCGCCTAAATCTGGTAAGTAGTGTTCAGTATTTTCGTGTGCGAGATTATGTGTGATATACAGGGTGTCTCACAATCTCCGTACAATACTTTAATAGTGTATTCTAGAGATAAAATAGAGTCGAAAATTCTAATACAAAAATTTTGAGGCTGCAATAATTTTTGAGTTATAAGCGATCAAAGTTTGCCAATGATATTTATTTATTTTGTCTGTCATCAATAACAGATGACAGATCAGTACGTGTGGAAATGTAGTTACGAGCCTGAAGGCGCAAATTCTATGCAATATTATTGGCAAACTTTAATCACTTATAACTCAAAAACTATTGTAGTCCCGATATTTTTGTATTAATATTTTTTACTCCATTTTGCCTCTAGAATACGCTATTAAAATATTGTACGGAGGTTGTGAGACACCCTGTATATATGAGGAAGATGGAGCATCTCCTATCGTGTACGTTAAAGGACACGAAAAACGAGAATGGCTGACCGATATACTTGACGATGATGCAAGAAACGATGTTATTATTGACACCTTGGATGCGGACTATGAAGATATCACTTTGTTAAATAAGCTAGATGTTACTAATTCTATGCGCTGTGAAAAACATTTAAAAAATTGCGCTTTACAAAATGTATGTAAAATATTCAATTGGTGGACGAATCATCATAAAGATTCACTCAAACATTATTTAGAATAAACTATTGTTAAAATATATTTTTATTATCTTTTATGCTTCCCTTTTCCTCTTTCTTATCCCAGTATGCGAGTATTAAATTTCAGTACGTGACGTTAGATAGCGGCGTCAGCCATTTAATTAAAATATAAATGTTACATGTCTATAGACATAAAATTTTTAAAATAATAATTAGTTTGTCGTTTGATAATGGTTCAAAGCTGTTCGATAGCTGTTCAATAGCTGTTTAAAGTTGTTCGATAGCCGTTCAAAGCTGTTCGATAGCCGTTTGATAGTGGTTTGCATATTATAATAATACATTCATATTTAAAAGACTTGTAGATAATTGTCTGCGGAAACATGCTTACTTTTGTCTTCTTATCATATGCAAAAGGTAAGCGTTCTTTGTAAGTGATACATCCTCTACTCTAAAATGTTTAATCGAGACAATGTTTATCTCATTATGTCCGTCACAAAGTATTTGACAACGAGTGAAGAACAGTGTTATAGTAAAATTAAAACTGTTTGAAAATGCCAAAATGTTTCGCCTAAATCTGGTAAGTAGTGTTCAGTATTTTCGTGTGCGAGATTATGTGTGATATACAGGGTGTCTCACAATCTCCGTACAATACTTTAATAGTGTATTCTAGAGATAAAATAGAGTCGAAAATTCTAATACAAAAATTTTGAGGCTGCAATAATTTTTGAGTTATAAGCGATCAAAGTTTGCCAATGATATTGCGTAGAGTTCGCGCGCTCAGATCCGTAACTACATATACACGCAAACCGATCTCTGTCATCTGTTATTGATTTTATAAATCAGGTAATATTGATTTTTACTGCACAGCTGATTTTATTGTTTCTTATGTGTATGAATATTATGTGGAACGGTCAGCTGATATTAATGAACTATAAATGTTATACGTAAAATATTTATTTTTTTTTTAAATAATAATGAATGTACAGCGGTCAGCTGATATTAACGAACTATAAATGTTGTACGTAAAAAATGTAATTTTTTCTTAAATAACAATTTATATAGTTGATTAATTATTATATTTAAATAGAAATATAAACTTAATATTTTCACACATCTAAGAAACGAATTTTATTTTTGTTTTGATCGCGCGGAGAAGTTTTTTGGAAATTTATTTATTTATTTTATCTGTCAGCAATAACAGATGACAGATCAGTACGTGTGTAAATGTAGTTACGAGCCTGAAGGCGCAAATTCTATGCAATATTATTGGCAAACTTTAATCACTTACAACTCAAAAACTATTGTAATCCCGATATTTTTGTATTAATATTTTTTACTCCATTTTGCCTCTAGAATACGCTATTAAAATATTGTACGGAGGTTGTGAGACCCTGTATATTAATTAATAATATATTTCAGTTCGTGCATATCGATGTTATCCATCAGTGGTACATGCGGTGGGTCCGCGGAAATATGCGGTGGGCGCACGCGAATTTATGGGGTGACACCCGTGAAGCCCGCGAGTGGGCGAACGTTCACCCTCAAATATAAAAAGATATTTTTTTCTTGCGACCGCTTTTCGACCTGGAGCCGTATGCTGAGGAGAAAAATTGGGAGGAGAAGGATAGGGAGGAGGATTGGAAGAAGGATTGGGAGGAGGAGGAAGAGCTTGCGGCCCCAGGAAAATAATGTATGTATCTTCTTTTTGAAATTTATATTAGATTTATAAAAATTAAATCAATATAGATTTATAAAAATTACAATATAGATTTATAAAAATTAAATCAATATACTAACAAGATATGTATTTTTTCTGTTTCAGAAGGAGCGTGCAGCGACGATTTTTATTATTTTAATATTTTTAATACACACACACACAAATTTTTGATAAAACATTATTATTATTATTATTATTAAAAGAGTGTCAATTATTTCTGCGCCTTCTTCTTTCCTTTTCCTACTCATTTCTCTCTCTCTCTCTCTATCTCTCTCTTTTTCTCTCATACCTGTGCGCTATCCTTCTCCCAAGTGCATGCGAACGCTATCCCTCTCCCACAAGCATGCGATCGCCTCGCGTTATCCTTCTCACAACACCTTGCGAACGTCGTATCTCGCATCATCCACGTGCATGCAGATCATTAGCGCCATCCTTCTCCCACACATTGCGGACGCCACGCGCTATCTCTCTCACACCTACTCGCGGTCGCGTGCGTTCCCTCTTCCCCGTGGACCCCTCGCCATCCGGTTCCGCCGCGGTCCCCGTGTTCCCCGCGGACCACTCGCCTACCGGTTTTGCTGCGGTCCCTCGCGTGACGTCATACTCCCCGCGCTGGTTTCCACTCGCCCCCCCCTCCCCTCAGAGGACCTGCGTTAGAACCGGCCTAGCTATACTACTACAAACTTTAATATCAAATTTCAATTTGTTATATCTTCTAAACCAATGCTGTCCGCCACTTGATTCTTGCGCGGAATTACTTATAATACTCCCCTCTACAACATATCTATGTGGCGATTAAATTCATCAGATGTGATCTTTTATGCATATTTACCAAAAGACCTTCAAAATAAAATATAATTTACAAGGTGCAACGTTATTTAAAATTTTTTAGTAACTTTTTTCGCTCCTTTCCTTTTAAAGATTATGATTTCTGCATGACCTTAAAAAATTAGTCCTTTGATATCATGAAAAATGTTAGAAACAACAATCTTTTATTCTTAAGTAGGATAAAAATACGAAAAACTTTTATCTAAAATAGGAAAATAAATATACTAGAAATTACTTATTTTGATATTATATGTATATGTATCCTTAAACTCTTTAAGCCATTACATTCTATTTGTTCTTCAGATGTTCCGCTTTAGCTACGCCGCCAGAAGATCCACCTGCGAAACAGCTACACATGGCTTATAAGATCTTTCAAACAGACACTAAACTCGTCAATCTTTTGCTGCAATCACATGGTTTTGTAGAGGTAAGGTATTAGCAAAATATGTATTATATACTTTGTGTGTGTGTGTGTGTGTGTGTGTGCGTGTGCGTGTACATATATGTGTACGTGTGCGTGTACGTGAGCGTGTGCGTGCGTGCATGCGTGCGTACGTACATACGTGCATGCGTGCGTGCGTGCGTGCGTGTGTGTATGCGTGTGTGTATGCGCGTGTGTGCGTGTGTGTGAGTGAGAGAGAGAGAGAGAGGGATGTGAGGGAGAGAGGTAGGAGGGGGAGGGAAGATATATAAAATACATTATTTATAAAATTCCATTGGAAAATATGAACGAGTTGCGTCAAAATATTATACAAGAATGTAAAGCTATTTCAGCAACTACCTTCCAAAATGTTCGTTTAGAGTTTGAGAATTGTTGTTATTATTTTTAACAAACAATGGAGAACATTTTAGGGATTTTTGCTGCAATAAAAAAACTGTGAAGTAAATAAATTGTATTCTAAATTGTATATTTCAATTTTTTTTGTATTTAAAACTTCCAAGTACGATTTCTCGCACATATTTGCTTAAATTAAAAAAAAAACAAATATGGTTGTAAAGAGAATCAAAAGGCCTTCAAAATGATGCCATTTAAGATTTTTGAAGAGATAGCTATTCGATGAAAAGGATGAAGCGGCACCGTTGAATTTATTGCACTTACACATTCCTATTGAAAACAAAATTGATCTCTTTTAGCATTTTCCGCAAAAATCATAAAATAAGCAAAGTGGAAACTTTTCAATAAATATCCTATATATACAGGGTGTCTGATATTGACCGTATCACTTCCTGTGTGTAGGTAGAGCAGGTGAAACCGAGAAGAGAAATCCTTTACCATTTTGCGATTTTCATAATAATTATTGAGAAATTAATTAAAAAAGATTGGCCAGTTCGTGCGAGTGGCGAGAAAAGACGGCCCATTGATATGTGATTGCTAGGACACGAGAATCTAGCGTTATGTACCGTTCGTACGTAACTGTTGTCATTTGTAGAGCGCTTCTCCTAAAACTTCGTCGCGCGCCTAGCGACCGCAAACTTTTGGGTTGTTTCTTCTCGTTGCGCGTTTATATTCGTAAATTGGCCGATTTTTTTTATTAATTTCTCAATAATTATTACGAAAATTGCAAAATGATGAAGGACTTTTCTGCTCGGTTTCATGTGCTCTATCTTCACACAATGGGTGATGCTATTGACTCCGGACACCCTCTATACGTACATATCTTGAAATTCATTGTCAGTATATGCATGGCTTTTATAATATTATGAAATAGTGCACTGAAACCACATTTATTTTGATTTTAAAAGAAGGAAATTTTATATTAGTTCATGCAATTTGTGTCGAAGAAAAATTACACTTTTCGTGTAAAATATAAATTGCATAATAATAAATATTTAAAAAACATGAAAATTAAATGAAATAAAAAAGTTATTTTTCTAATAAAAGACAATATTATTTAGTAAAACTGACGTTTAGAGGAGGCAGCCCCGATGACCTTGACCTTGACATATGTTGTCAAAGTCACCCTCGTGAGTGACCTTCAGAAGGTTTTACCCGTTGCTCGTTTTTTATTAAAAATTTATTAACAAAAATGTTTAAAAAATATAACAGTATGTGGAAATAAGGTAAGTATGAACGAAAGAAAGTAATTTAAAGCAGTGAATCGTATGATAATTGAAAATATTATTTATTGAATGCGTGGAATAAATAAATACATGAACGGACAGAGGATTCTGATATAAGAAATAGTCGACGAGTATGCAAAATGAGAATTTTAATCAATATTTAAACGCTCTAATGGATACATAGAACTAATTATTTCAAAGAAAGCCTCAATGCGTTCGTGTAAAAATTGTGTATTCTTTTAAATAAAAATTGTGCGAGATAATTCGTGAAATGATAATCGCGTGTGCCGTAGCGAGGGATACTTGCTCGCATATCTCTCCACAATCTTTCTATATTTTGGGTGTGAACACCAGTTTCAGGATCTATAAAATTAGCCGAATGGTTAACCGTAAATGTCTAGAAAAAGGGCTTCTTCACGGACGACCTTGACCTTCACATATGTTGTCAAGGTTATCGTCCTGAGTGATCTTAACCTTGAAAAAAGTGGCAGTCAAGATCCGTTCAAAAGTTATGAAGCATTAATATAAGCATAAGCAGAAGCATAAATTTTAGTTTTACATCCGAAATCCTAACCCGAACCTTTCCCATCCACATAACAATTGTGGGATGGACCTCGCTTCGCGTTGTAAAGTATCTGCATGGACGCAGTGGGTTCCGCCCCCCTTTACGGGGGGACTCCACTTCCGGAAGATATAACCTAACTCAAACCTATTTCTGATTTAAAACTAAAATTTGGTTTGGGTTAGGTTAGTCCGCCTTTCCCTCTCCAACACATTCACTTTGCAATGACTATACAAACAACAACTTAATACTAACGATTATCACGGATGTGTGTGTGTTACTAGTTATAATTAAGTATGATAAATATCAGGTGATTGCATAAGTTCGTGCCCGATTTAAATATAAACTTCAATAGATTATATTTTAGAGATAACACTTTTATTAATCAATTATATAGTCTCCATTCTTAGTAACTTAATGCCATCTATGAAAATCGGGCACGAACTTATGCAATCATCCAATATATATCAAAAAAACAATATAATTGTATGATTATAATTGTATGATTCTATATGAATTCCATACATTTTCCATTTGTATACTATAGTGTGATGAATGTTTTGAAAAATATCGTTTGCGATCTTTCAACAGCCTTTGTTTACAAAAATAACTTTTTAATAAAAAACGAGCGACGACTAAAACCTTCTGAAGGTCATTCACGAGGGTGACCTTGACAAGTTATGTCAAGGTCAAGGTCATCGGAGCTACCTTCCCTAAACGTCAGTTTTACATTTTGCTCTTATGTAGAATGATATAGGTGCAAATTTTCTTCTTGAAAAATTGTATACATGACATATAGGTTACACGTGTACCATTATGTGCAATATAGTTGGTGTTTTTCGGATCTTTTTCTATTTTATTCGATATGTCTTATTTTATGTTAACACTTTGCCGATTCATCGGGTAGAGATCTACCCATTTTACGAGTCATGACGAACAATCGAATGGATAGATCTTTACCTTTTTACGTTACACCGTTGTAACCGCTCAATGTAAATACAGAGTGTCCCATTTTAAAAGTTCCACCCTCATAATTTTTCAGGATCAACGTTTAAAGGAAAACGACTCGGATAAAAGTTGTAGGGAACAAAGGGGGCTATCTAAACATCTCAATAACTAGATATCTAAAACAAAAGATAACACCGACAGACATTTGTTTTGAGAATTCATTTAAAACTACAAGATAGGATACCCACCTTCAATGACTTTGATCTTAACATGTTGTCAGGTTATAACCCTGAGTAATCCAAGAGGTTTTAGCCGTCGTTTGTTGTTTATTAAAAAGTTATTAACAATTAAATTGTACGATAAGAACAAGTATTAAATACAATAATCTGAACTTCTCCAATTTAAAAAAAACATGAATTTTATATTAGTAGTATATTTAAGTAGTTATGTAAATGCGTAAGCGGGGGAGAGGCGGAGCCTCTTTCCTTGCATCTCCATCCAAAAAAAACTAACCAAATCTAATTTTAATTCAAAATATAGAAATTGATCTGGGTTAGGTTATTTTTTTAAGGGCGGGGATGCCGGAGGAGGATCCGCTCTT